TTGTAACACTTTCATAGAAACAAAATCTTGCATTCCCTGTAATCCATGTTTTATGTTTTTTTCTTTCTTTTTTTTCATATGCTTTTGTTTTCTCAGGACTACATTGTTTCACCCAGTGCTGACAAATGAGATTTTGTACAGAGGCTTGAGACCACAGGCTCTCCTAATTAGCAGCTGCTCGTGAGAGATTCTCAGAACAGACAGGATGGAAAAAAAGAGTTGTTGATTCTGCTGGATTAAATAGAATTTTAAATAATGAAAGCACACTGAAATAAATAATTAAATAGAGTTTAAAAATGAAGCATTACATATATAAGGCTATTCTTTTTCAGCATATAATAATCATAAAATACTTATCCTTGAATCTTTAATCTTTAAGGGTATTTTCTCCAATTAATCATGATAAGTAATATTCAAATTTATAAATTTGTGTATATAATATTAGAAGATATATAGATAGCAATTTCTCTTGTCTAAGTAAGACAATCTTACCCTTTCTTCTCCCCTCATTATGCCAAAAAAGAAATAAATTGATGCTGTCTTGTTTTAAAATAATAGGTATGCACGATGATTGTCACGTCATCTGTGACACAGAAGAAATGAACAACTTCAGACACATAGTTCTACTTTAGAACATTGTATTTGAAATAAATAACCTTAAAGGATCTGTAATATTGCTGGCTTTTCGTTGATCTTTGATTCCATAGAGAGTAATCCTAATAACATTTCCATACATATGGAATCTATACTATGTGAGTAATCTGTGGACAAGCCAATTAAACCCTTCTGCTGAGATAAAATATTTGCTGACATTCTGGTATCATCCTTTTCTCACTGTAATTTGTTTCTAAATCACCTAATAATCTTTTGAATGAAGGCCTGCTGCAATGTTAAAAGATAGAACTATTTGCAAATTGTATAGGTAAATGACAGAGAAAGCCCAGGATGGCTGAGTCTGAGAATTGTACACACTTGCTGTTTTGTTCTTGAGTTCTTTTTCTATTCTACAACACTTGTAACATACGAGCACTGTAAGAGAGAAGATTGAGACAGTAGAGCATGAGGAAAAACAAATGACCATCTAGTTATCTCGTTGCTAGACTCCTAGGACACCTCTATTTTGGAAAAAAGCTGTGTCCACTTGAGCTATCTAATTCACAAGCTCTATATTTGAATCTGCAGCCAAATCCCAGCTGTGTTTTAAAAAAAGGGTTCATGTTCTTGTCTTTGCCTTGTGTACATGCATTTTCTTTCTGGAAATGAAGATAATGAAACTCATGTCTTCCTGAGTTGTAAAATGATTTTATTACATCACTCCTTTCTTTGATGTAAATAAAAAGCCCTATGTATAAATTTACTCTGTGATTCCATTGAAAATACAGTGTATAATCTCTGACTTACCATCACTCATTATTTAAGAGAAGCTCAGCTGAGACATGCTTTTCGAAGACAAGATTTTGACAGAAAACTCAACCCATCTGCACTTGCACTATATCCTAAAATTTACTTTTTCATATATCTGTCTTTAGAGATGAAAAGCAATATGAGGAATTTGAAAAAATCACATAGACCTTCTGGAAAATTAATTTTATGGAATTGCATTTTAACTTGTTTTCAGCACTTCATATTCATAATTGTTAAACCACCCAATAAATACTGCTTCTATCAATAATAAATATGTATAATCAGTTTAGCTTCTTCAAAAGATTTCTTTCTAAGAATTTCTATTGAATTTCTGTCTCTGGTATCCCAAATTATATCATCATAAGTTTTCCCTGTGCCATTTGTTGCTTGCAAGTTTAGAACCAAATTAATACCCATTTGGTTAATGGGCTCAGTAGGCCTAATTTCTAAATTCATTTGCCCTTTCACTCTTAGTATAGAGTAGAGGTCATTTTTAGTGTTCAATAGAGGTTAAGGAAATGACCAATTTCTTCATGAAATTATATGCTATTATGTGTAGGTGTGCACACGTGTAAGACAACATATTAATATGTATAAAAAGTCTTAAAATGTTCATGCACTTTGACTCAATAATTTAATATCTCAAAACACAGCCTAAGCGTGTAATTGAATATGCACAGGATGATTCATGAACCATGATTAATTTTATATTATTGAAAGTAGTTAAAACTGTAAAATAGTATCATGACCCAGTAGTAGGAGAATTCTCAATTAAATTCTGTGCAAAATTAGCTCTTATGATATACATAAAGACAGGAGAAAGTTCTCGCGCTATGTTGGTGGTTCAACAAAGCGAAATATAGACATGAAACTACAAGGTGCTATGAGAGTCACGTGTATTTTAAAGGAAGAAAAACAAAACATTCTACACAAAATGTTCTCAGACATTCTCTGAGTGATGGGATTTGGGATAAAAATGTTGGCTTATTATATTGTCTTTATTTTCTAACCTTTCTAAAATAAATGTGCATTATATTTTATAAACAAAATAAGAGCATATTTAAATGATAATTTTGCAGGGACAAAGAGAAAGAAAGAGAATAAAACAAGTATTTGACAGTCATTTCATGTATTGACTAATTACATTGTTACAAAACAGTCATAAATTGTTTATGAATTTTTAGTATATTTTACAAATTGCCCACTTGCTAAAACATTTTCTGGGAGCTGCACATATATTCAAAATATAAAATCAATCATAATTAGAAAAACAACAAAGAAGACAAGACATTGGATTGAAACATTACCATTTGGACAACTGATCAGGCAGGGCAAGAAAAGCTAAAATATTATGTTTTTGAACATTAAGAATTAACTTTAATGATATCAGTGAAAAATAGGAAGAATAAGAACCTCTGAACTCTGTCTCACTCAACTTCAGAAAGTCAACAATCTGCACGTAAATTCATTTGTCTTGAGGTTATGGTGAAAGGCAGTGTCCACCAGCCCAGCCTTTACTCTACGAGCTCCCAGCCATAGCCACTTCCAGGTTCCAGGAGCCTGAGTCATGCACTCCAGTCTGCAAAACCTGCTCTCAGCATATAAGAGGCTACACAAAAGAATGTGAAAACCAAACAAGAAAATACACCACATCCTATATTTTAGCCTTAATGGCAAAAGCAACCACAAATATACAAACAAAAGCTTATGATACCATTCTTGTTAAAACAAAGGAGTGCATATCCACTCATGCAAATTTTCTTTGATATCTATTTTCTTGTGTTTCACAAATAAATAAGCAAAGAAGAAAACAGAATAAATATATAAAGCCTCTTTAGAAGTACATAGTAATTTTAAAAAAGGTATTTTACAAGGAAGATTCAGAGAATTCACTTTATCATTCATAAATTCACCAAACAACTTCAAAATACAGTAAAGAAAAAAGGTAACTAAGGTAAAACAAAAATTATTTTGATTATTTTTATTTTAAAACCCATACATTTTGTTTTTCAATTTTAAACACATGTTTATTGTACACGTGGTAAAATTACTTTATTACACATCACTAAATGAAGAGTTATAAATATAATCATAGGTGAATACAAATTTATTTAGTCATAAAATTTGCTTGAGTATAACTAAAAACCATATTTATTTACTTATTTATTTGTACAAGGCAAACTACAAATAATTAAAATGAGATCTCTGTTACAAGACTGAATGGTGGTTAGAGCTCACTTATAATAAATGCAATCTAAAATACTGAGTCATGACAATATTTCAAATAATGCTAAACATTTCAACTGAGTGATTAGTTAAGTTTGACAGTATAGAAAATACATCCAAAATTAAAAATCATTTTAAGTGTATTTCTGTGTGATGACAGCATGCCTGGCCAGCTCTGTTAAGGGTTTCTAATTAGGTGTCAGCAATATGCTCTCCTGAAAATCGGGGACATTCGTGTCCTATGCCCCAAACCCTGCCTGTCAGTGTTCTTCTGATTATTAAAATTATTGCTTGGTGAAAAGAACAGATTCTACATGTTCTGTTTTTTAACCACAGATTCCTTTAAAATGTGTAGACATGGTTTTGGATGGCCTTAAAATTATACAAAACAGAAACTTACGGAAATGCTCACAAGGCATGACTCTCATAGCACCTGTCTAAAAGTTCCTGAGGGATGGCAGGATCAATTGTCTGAGACAGCAGACAGGCAGAAGAAATGCTGGACGGCACTTAACTCTTTAACATATATCTGGTCTATATAGTTAATATGTAATTTAATTTAGGGCTTCAGAAGAAACTTCCATGAACGATTTCAATGATATAACACATCTACACATTCATAGTAACTTAAAGAAAAAAACAAACAAAAAAAACTGTTTTTCTCCCTATATTCTTACACAGTCAATCACACTCAACATAATACTTCACCTCTGGTTACCAAAATGCATGTGAGGGTTTCTCCCACCAGCACAGGTAATGCTTCCATGAACACCAGCGGTGTGTTCTGTGATTCAGTTCAATTCTGACTCTATCTGGAGGAAGCACCAGACCCCACACGTGAGGGCCCAGTCCCAGAAGATTGCCCCCACTTCAGGTGACAGTCCCAAGCTTCTGACTGACCAGGGTTTCCAGCATCCCTCCTTGGGTTCCATCAATTTGCTAGAGCAACTCAGAGAACTCAGTTATACACTTACTTTTATTTTCCCATTTATCATAAAGGAAATTGCAAAGGATTCAGGTCCCAGCCAGATAGAGGAGATGAAAAGGGCAGGAGATGTGGGGAGAAGCAGAGCTTCCATGCCCTCTCCAGACATCTCTACCTATTCAGCAGTCTGGAAGCCTTCTGAACTCAGCCTTTCAGGATTTTATGGAGGCTTCATTATGCAGTCATAATTGATTAAATTGTTGTCCATTGATGATCATCTCAACCTTTAGTTTCTGTCCTCTTCCTAGAGGTTAGAAAGTAGGGCTGAAAGTTCCAATCCCCTCATCACACAGGTGGTTTCCCGGGAAACCAGCCTCCATCCTAAGGCATCCAGGAGCCCACTGAGAGCCACCCTGTTAGAACAAAAGACGCTCCTGTCACACAGGACTTTACAAAGGAGCTGTATCAGAAACCAGGGTTAAACAACAAGTACAGAACAAATGATTCCTCCAGCACCCCTACTGTAAGGATTTTAAGAACTCTATCTCAGAATAAAGACCTGAGGGTAAAGACCACTAATACGTACAGTGGTCTTTATTACAGTTACCGGTAATATAACACCTTAATGGTAAATTAATACTGAAAAATTATGTAAAAATAGTAAAGGACGGTCACTTCTAATATATTAAAGTTAGAAATGTAGAAATATAAATGTAAATACTCACAAAAAATCTTTAGCCTGATGCAAAATTTTAAGGTATTTTATATGTAAAAAAAACTTTTATTTATATGTATTTATATGTTTGATATGTATATGTTATATTTATGTTTGTATATATGTTACGTTTGATATATATCTTACATTTTACATTTAAATTACTTTGTTCTGTCATTATGCATATAAATATATTCATATTCAGAAATACACATACAGAGATCTACCTACAACATTTAAACATTATTTTCTAATTAAAGTTTTATAAGCAGTAGAGTTTAGTCATTGTAAATAAATGAAAAAGGATTTTCTTCTACTAAAGGTCATCATTTCCATATAAAAAGGATCAAAATCCTCATTTCTATCTAAATACAGTTAGGAAAAAATTGTTGTTTAATAGCTAAGCATTTTGAAAGTTAGTGATGTTAAGCAGACTTAGAAGTTACATTAGTACATCAGCTTAGGCTGTAATGAGCTGACTATGCCTGTCTCCTGTGACTGATGGTAGCCATTTGAACAAACAAACAAACTTAGCCTCAAGGCAGCTGTTGAAGTAGACACAATAACCCATTAAATTATGTTAAGATAAAACCATAGCAAATGTTTCAGACTATAGATTGTTCACATAAGATTTCTCTTATTTTGTTTTAACCAGAATAAAATTACATACTTCAAACCATCATGTTAAGAACATAGTTTTCGTTAAATCTTGGTTTTATTTTGAACCAATTAGCAAGCTGGAAGCAGAAAACAGAGCTGGTGCTTATCATTGAAAAATTAATATATATGAAAATGAATGAATTATAAAACTAATCGTTTGTCAACACAAATAGTTTGTGATTTTATAAACATGTGATGTCAAAATACAAAACAAAATCTTCATTCAAAATCTGCATCACATTGTCAATAGCTGGCTGGTAACGCAAAAAGTGCACAATATTTTTCTTAGTAACTTGACATGAGATTCTATTCTAGGAAACTCTGAGATCCTGCATTTTAATTACGGGTGCAAGAGCAAGCGCTCATTCTCTCGTCCCACCTTAACCTAACTTGAAGCACACATATAAAACCAGATGATTACTTGGAACATTTCAAACTAAACTGCTTTCACTTCAGGCTCTCTCTCAGGAATACCTCATTTACTACTCCATATCTCTAAAATCATTTTAGAAATTGTCTTTGGGGCAATAAGAATAAAAAAGGAATGAAGGCCCATAAGCTGCAGATATTTAACATATAAATATGCTATTTATAAGCAACAAATTTTTGCACTCCAGAATTTTAAGGTAGGTAATGGTTTATGAGGAGTGATATGCTTTTAAGCTAAAGGACCCAAATGCTTTGAGGGATATAATACTCCAGAATATTCTGCTTCAAAGAACACTGTTTCTAAAAATCACTTTCAGGGAAAGGGCCTATTTTGGCTCAGTGTTAAATGATTGCATTTCCGGTTCATTCATTTGACATCCACTGGAATTCTCTGTAGAGTCAGACTGAAGCAAGCTGCAGTTAATGTCTCAGAAGACACGTAAGATGTGTAAGTCAATTGGGCCCATTTAAATCTACAAATACGATCAGAAATATTTGGAAATTGTCTATCACACCAAAAAAGATAACAGCTTTCTGAAAGCAAATAGTTTAAATGCTTAGAGTACAACATGGCGGAAATGAAGGAAGTATTTATCTGTGAGAGAGGACAGAGTTAATCCACTTAATTTGAATTTGAATTAAAACCACTCTGCAAAGGTATTCCAAATTATTCAGCCAATCTTAAAAGCAAAACATTTTTTATTTTTCTAACTTTTGAATACATTTAAAATGCTTTGAATTTCAGAACACGAATGACTAATGAGCCATGGTAATAATATCATAATGACATTATGGAATAATGGTCTAAATTGCCTCCTTCAAATGTCCTCTGCCTTTTATTATTTTTAAATTAAATATATGAAAATTATAAAATATTTTATCTAGTATGTTTTAAGCTTAAAAAATGATGCTATCCATTCTTAAGATGTATCCATCTTAAGAAATGATGTCACCAGTTTCTTTAAAATCTGCCCTGTGCACCTCATATCACATCACCTCCCCAACCCCACCCTGGGGAAAATAACTGCTAGCCTAGATTCCTCTGAAATACTCCGTTGAATTTCTTTAAAGGATTCCAGAATGAATTCTTGAATAATTCTCTAAGCAATATGCTAGATTCACTAACCACCTATGAATTATTCTCTAAATGATATGTTGCCCCGATTTGCCTGATTTGACCTAATAGTCATGTTGTGTATTTTCTTTTCAAGTCAGGATCTTGCTCTGTCACCTAGGCCAGGCTGGAGTGCAGTGGCACAATCAGGACTCCCTGCAGCTTTGACATCCTGGGCTCAAACAGCCTCCTACAGACGCATGCCACCATGCCCCGATAACTTTGTACTTTTTTTTTTGTAAAGAAGAGATTTTGCTATGTTGCCCAGGGTAGTCTCAAACTTTTGCACTCAAGCAATCTGCCCGCCTCAGTCTCCCAAAGTGCTAGGACTACCATACTCAGCCTTTCTGTGAATTTCTTTTTCTGTTCCCCGATATTAGATTTCTGAGTTTGTCCAGGCTGATGTCTAGCTGTGACTCACCATTTTCCCCTCTGGATTTATTATGTCAATAAACCAAAATTTATTCATCAGTTGTTAGGCATTTTAACTGTTTCCACTTGAGGTCATGGCAACCAATGTTGTCACAAATATTCTTTTGTATTTCTGCTGGGACACAAATGCAATAAATGCCTTACAATACGTTTGTAAGGGTAGCATCTTTTATATTCATAAAATTGGCATAAAATTCTAAGTATTTGTGTGCTGAATGTTTGGTAAAAATCACCTATAAAACAATCTGGACAGGGTATTTGTTTGGGGAAGAATTTTGACTATGTTTTTTTTATTTTGATAATTATACTGCTTAAATCTAAAGTTGAGGTTCTTGGAAAGCAGATTCAGTTACATTCCCTGTGGATATGAGGTGTCTGGCCCCTATTTCTAATGTCCAGCACAGCTGAAATGGGCCCAACAACAGTCGCAGTGTTGAGGCCCATTTCCCAGCTCAAGTGTGGAGGATGCATTTCTCACTTGATTTCTCTCCCTACTCTGGAGCCCCTGGCTGTCATCACTACTGGATGAGACCCAGAACCCACAGAGGGATGAGCTACCTCAGTATGGGACTGTGAGCAGCCACAGCAATAGCTTGATTTAGCATGTATTATTGATTTCCCATCTACATTTTGCAGATATTCTCACATTTTAATAAAGTGTAATTTTGTTGTCATACAGCTTTTTCTAAAAATTTCCATTTCATTTTTCTGCAGTAATTAGCTATTCACAATTTGACTTAATTGTTCCTCTGTTAGTGATTTGCTATGCACTTACCATTTCTAAAGGCTAACAGAGCCAATGAGCCATAGCTGGAGGAATCTGTAGCTTTTAAATGAGATTTTTTTAAAGAGCTTTCTATCAGTTGTTGATTCTTTTTCTTATTTCCTTTTGCAAATATATTTTCTATTTCCTGCCTTCCGTTCTGAATGCTGAATATATGTTTGCAAGTAATCATCTCTGCATTCTTTGGAGATAGAAATTAATACTGTCTTATACAGATATTAAAACTAAGACTCAGAATGGTCAAGGAATTGTTCAAAATCACCAGTAAGCAGAAGGGTCAGAATTTAATTCTGTGGGCAGAAGTTGTGCACAAGACTTTCCCTTAAGGCAACTATAAGGATGTTCTATTTTCAGTGTATCTGTGGGCTTTTCTTTGTGGTTGAGCATCACAGAAGGTTTTTGAGTGATCAGTTACAGAATATACAGTAAGATTCCTTAATATGACTTTTAAATAAACAAAGGTTTTGACTAAAAATAGAAAGGTAGACTAGGAATTGAGCATAGCAGAATGTCTAGCAATATACTAAACAGCTAAACAGCATCTGAGACAGTTACTGAATTGGAAGATAGAGTTAAAGAAATTATGCAGAAGGCAACCCAAAGATAAGGAAATAAACATATAAAAGGGACATGTAAAGCTATAGGAGAGAAAATGAAACGATCAAACATACTACTGATCACAGTTTTAGGAGAATAAGACAGGGATGGCGTCAGGTCATAGTCTAAGAGGTAACACGTGAGAATTGTTTAGAATTAATGAGCAAAATGAATCCTTAAATTCAGGAAAGCTAATAAACATCACACCAGGTACATAGAAAGAATAAACTACAAAAGCAGAAAAGCAAAGAAAATAATTTAAAACAGCCAAGAAAACAGAGATTTCTCATAAAAAAATGGCGATTAGACCAATGGGTTTCCCAACATACTAACAAAAGCCAGAGACAGCAGAATAATATTTGCTGAATTCCTGGAGCACTTGGCTTCCAGCTGGGAGTCGCTCAAAGAGATATCCTAAATATGTTTTGCACAAGTGCATCAGGGGGCATGTACCAGGGCCTTTATTGCAGCATGGACTTAAGTAAGATACTATGTCATTTAAAATGCATTGAAAGCATGTGGGAACAGCTACAAATGAAGATAAAAGTAAATGGTTAAATTTGGAAGATGACAAATAGGAAAGATTCAAAGATATTGGCAGGGATTCAAGAAATTTAGTGGTTCCTTGACAGAAAATGAGGCCATGTCACCAGTAGGAGAAAATGAGAGGGAACCTTGAGAGCTTTAAAAGATAGATTCTTAAAGCAACAAAAGACTATTTCAGGCATTATCTAGAAAGAAACATTTTACTTAGAACCTAGGCTACTGAAGTTACAACCGAACTGAAAGGTCCAGTTATTTTGCTAGAGAATGAAGCATCCTTCACCATTACTT